AATCCATTGCCGGTCACAAAAAAAAAGACAAAAAGGAAAAAAAAAAAAAAAAACAGCAACAAAACTTTTTTTTTTTTTTTTTTTTTTAACACTTAGTGTCTTTTTAAGAAGAGAAAGGACAGGGCACTTGTCCTAGGGAAGATGATGCTTATACATATAAGCTGTTGTCTACACTTGTCCTGGCAGCCTGTTAGATTTGCACTTTCTTTCCGTTCCCGAAGCTGTCAGGCTAGCCAGCTGCTTCTCCTTCTTTTGCTCCATTTCATTTAGCAAATATGTTTAAGTCTCTTCTGTGTGTTTTTTACTGAGTAAATGTTGGAAAGAAAAAAACAAAAAGATACAGCACCTTCCCTAAAATCAGCCTTGTTTGGGGAGTCAGGTGACCAATGGTGAATTTAATAAACATCCTGCATGACATCAGAGCTGGCAGGGAAAGGAGTCAGCCCCTTCCAGCCACCTGAGGAGAGGGGGGCCATGGCTCCCACTGGGAAGGCAGAACGGCATGTGGGGTTCAGGGCTGGGGGTCTGACCACCTCCCCACTTCCTACCTACTTGGCCCTGGGCTAGCTCCTGACTTCTCTGAGTCTCCATTTACTTGTCTGCAAATTGGGAGAATGAAAGAGGCCCTGTACTCTTTTTTTTTTTTTTTTTTGGTGGCTGGCTGGTACAGGGATCCGAACCTGTGACCTTTGTGTTACAAGGCTGTGCTCTAACCAACTAAGCGAACCAGCCAGCCCCCTGTGCTCTTTTGAAAGCACTTTGCACAGTGTTTGTCATCCTTCAAGCATGACAATGATATTGTCATTCACATTACCCACCTCCAGAAAGGCCCCTGCACCAGGGAAGAGAGCTGTGAGCCCATTTCCCCTAATTGAATCTATTGGTCATCAGCTAGATCACATAGTTGCCCCCCAAATAAGAAAACTTCCACTGCTAGAATTCTCACGCCCAAATATTATCAGGGTCTTTAACCAAACTTTTTTGTTTTTTAAGTTAACCTTAATATATATATATTTTTGACCGGTAAGGGGATCACAACCCTTGGCTTGGCATTGTCTGCACCACACTCAGCCAGTGAGTGCACTGGCCATCCCTATATAGGATCCAAACCCGTGGCCTCAGCGCTATCAGCACTGCACTCTCCCAAGTGAGCCACGGGACCGGCCCTTTAACCAAACTTTGAAACTCAAACCCAAACCAACTGCTTGACATTACTAAATCCCATACCAAACCCAGATATTTTATAGATTAAACTATGAATTGAACTTGAAGCTCCTGAAAGAGCAATCCTTGTGAACCACTTAAAATGCAAGGCAGCCACTAAATTCTGCAAAAACCAAAACTGAGCTGTGGAACATCCTGCAACACTCTTGCTGCAAGCCTGTGGTATGACAGGTGGCATTACCTTGATGGACAGAGAGCCCGTCTCTCTGTTCAGGGACAGGTCAGCAGATAGGGAGGTGCTATAGTCCATGCTCTCAGAGGTGGACAGGCTACCACAGTCCGAGTCCCTCTTGGAAGGGACTGGAGCTGCTGGGGCAGGGACCTCCAGGTTGCCATTGGCCATCTTCTCACTACCCAGCGTCTCCAGAGCACTGCTGTTAGGCCGACTCTGGCTTGCCTTTTGAGACCTGTTGGCTGCTGGACTGAGGTCCCCACCCTGGTTAGCAATTTGTTTCTCCTTGGCCACCTGAATTCTGGCATCCATTGACACTGGTCGGGACTTTCGGAGGGGCACAGGCACTGCTAAGCCATTCTCATTTCCAGGGGTCTCATCTGGGGGGCTGGTGTTTGCAGGGGATTTGTCTCCAGAGGGCTGGCTGCAGGGTCCATTCACACTGTCTTGAGGCTGGCTGGGTGGCAGCAGGGTGGGAGATGATTCCTTGAGAGGCTTGTCGGCACTGAGGCTCAGCTGATTCACCTCAGAAGAGTCCTGCGTGTGGTTCACCAGGGGCTAGAAAAAAAAAAGACATGCTGCCGTGTGTCCAAGATAAGAATCAGAAATGCAGTGGGGTTAGAAAGTCAGACGCTCACAAGGTGAGGTGGGCCTGGGTCAGGAGAGTAGAGGAGGTATCATTCTAAGTCAGTCTTCCCCACTCGCTACTGCCTACCCACTAATAAAATGACTACTTATTTTGAGAAATAGGTATCTCCTGACTATCTCTAATCTTAGCTCAATTTATTAGCTGTTACTCCTCCTTAGAGTGGAGGCAATTGTGGCCAACTAGCCAGCTCATGCCCCATCTGGAGAGGACAGTGGCTACTCTGCTCCAGCCAATTGTGACAATATGGGAAAGCGGACCCTTTGTGGACAGACCTTCCAATTTTTCAATACAAGTTGGAAATCTGGATTTTTGCACGACATCTCTTGATTTTTAGATGGCACCTAACTGTAAATTTTTAAAAAATTGTATAAAGGCCAAACCAAGTCTATCTGGGGGCTGGATTTAGTCTTCTGGCCACTAAATTTCAAGTTTTGTTTTTGATTTTTAGAGTTTTTGCAGGGCAGAAAGTATTGAAAACATGTCTATGGTGAAACAGAACACCCATTTCTGTGGATAAAACACAAACATCCAGCTTGATGAAGAAAGTGAGAACCCACATAACTACCTTCCAGGTCAGGAGGGGACACTGCCATGCCCCAGAGGCACCCAAACCCCCATCCTTCCCAGTGGCAGTCCCTTCCCTCCCCTTAACATAGTCACTGTCCTTTATCTAAGTGCTATAGGTGAATTTTGCCTGCTTATACACTTGATATTAATGGAATCACATTCTAAGCATTCTTTTGGGTCCTGCCAGCCACAGGTTTTTGACTTTAGATATGGCAGCTAGTGGAAGCAACTCCATCCACCTTCTACTCAACACCCAGAGAGATGGTTCAAAAATTTGGATATGATTCTGTCATTCCCACACCAGTACCCAGCCCCTGCATGAAACCCACCGTGGCTCCCACTGCCTTCAGGATGAAGATCAGCCTCCTGCCCATGGAGAAAGAGGCTGGGCATGACCCCTTCTGCCTCCCTCTCCAGCCTTGCTGTCTGACACTTCTGTGGCAGGCCCCACTGTGGTTCTCCTACTCCCTGACCACACCCACACTGCCACCTATCAGCTCAGACAGCTACTTTCCTACACAGCCCTCAGTTTCCCCATCTGTAAAATGGAGCCTTGGTTTCTCTCTGTCAGAGCTGCAGAGTGCTTGGCACTCAGTAGGGGCTCTACGAATGGCTGTGGTTACTGTGCCAAGACTGCTCACCCTCCTAGGGGCTTTTCTTCTGCATCCTAGTAAGGGTTTGCACCAGCCTCAGGCTCCTCCCAGAACTGAATTAAACTTGAGAAAGCTGCTGTATCATTCACAGCATGAGGATGTGGGCCAACTCCATCCCCCGATGGGGCAAGTCCAGCCCCTGCTTCATTAGGCACATGGTACCATCTGGACAGCCAGTCTCCCTCCAGAAGAACTCCTCCGTACCCCAACCCCGGACAGCTAGACCAGAGATCATAAAGCAGCAGCTCAGGACAGAATCCATCCCACAGACATGTTTCGCTTGGCTCAAATGGTTTTTACGAATTTAAATCAGCCTTAATATCAATTTAACTCCAGCAAGTGCTGAAGCTACAAATGAGTTACAAGTGTTCCAAGACATGGGTCCCCACAGCACTCATGGCAGCCAGACAAGGTCCAGGTGGTTGGAGATCCCTGGTCTGTTACCTCTGACGATATGCAGCCTCATCTATTTTTCCCAAAGTGTGCTAAAAACATTCTCATTTTGTATGCGAGCTGCAACAGGAAAATAGGCTGGGAAACAAGAATCAGTTACCAACTTTTAAAAATGAAAAGATTTCATGTGAAAATCTAGATTCCTGATTTCTCCTGAAAACTCACAGGATCTGGCCAATAACCCCTCCTGCCTCACCCTGGCCCATGTGCCATCTTATGTAATCTGCAGCGTGGGTGTCTGCAACTCTGAGCCAGAAGAAACAGAAAGGAGTCCTGCCTGAGCCTCCCCCAAACCCCCTCCCACACCAGCCCAGGCCTGGTGGGGTCCGTCCCTCCCCAGCCCCCAGTCGTCCTGGCCTTACAGAGGCAGCATCCACGGCGTCCTCCTCTTCCCCCTCCTCCCGGCCGTCTTCAATCTCCTCCATCACCTCGGCCTTGGCCTCAGCCACCAGCTCCCGCAGAGCCTTGTTACTGGTGATGCTGCTGACGAAGGGATGCTGAGGAGTCAAGACAACTTGGATTAGAACCATTTGGGGATCGGGGTGGGGTAGGAGAGGCTGGGGGAGCTGATCCCCTGGGGCAGAAAAGGCCAGCTGCAGTTCTGAGCAAGATGTGAACACGATGTTGGCAAGGGAGTCCCAAAGGCAGCTCAGGAAGTCCTGTGTGGGGTGGAAAGAGGGCAAATTGCAGCTCTGCCACTCGCCCGTTGTGTGACCCCGAGCATGTCACTTATCCTCTCTGCACTGCAGACTCCTCATCTCTGATGTGGAGACAATAATGTCAAACCCACCAGAGAGGTCATGAGGATTCAATGAGATAATGCACTCGAAAGTTCTCAGCAGCAAAAGCTCAAGCAATGACAGGGGCTGTGGGGGGGTTGTTTGTATATTTGTTTATTTTCCTTTTTGAAAGGTTTTAATATACAGTTTTATAAAATATACTATATATTTTATTGAGGAATAACTTTTATTTTTTGGTGGCTGGCCAGCAGGGGGATCTGAACCCTTGACCTTGGTGTTGTAATACTGTGCTCTAACCAGCTAAGCTCACCTGCCAGCCCTGAAGAATAACTTTCATACAGTAAGGTTCACAAATCATGAAGCTTGGTGGCTTCTCACATACACACACCTGGTGTAACCACCAGCCAGCCCAAGATACAAAACATTTTCATCCCTCTAGAAAGCTCCCGTCTCCCCTTGAAGGTACTGCGCCCCCCGCCGTGGTTGCCTGTCTCCAGAGATTAGTTCTGCCTGATGTTCAACTTCACTTTAGCAGAATCACACAGTCGTAGTGTTTTTCATGGGCTTCCTTTACTCAACACCATTTCTGTGAGATTCACCTACATCATCATGTGTTTCGGTAAATTGTTCCTTTCTTATTCCTGTGCAGTGTTCCGCTGTATAAATACGTCACAGTTCATTTTCATTCTGCTGCTACTAGACATCGGGATTGTTTCCCATTTTTGGCAACTATGAATAAAGCTGTTATGGACATCTCTGTACATGTCTTTGGGTAGACAGATGTGTTTCATTTTAAGAAAGGAAATACAAAATCTTGAGGCAGAGTGGTGTATGTTCTATTCTAGGTTTATACAGCAATGTCACAGTCTTTAAAAGCGTATGCTCTTTTATGGATCTTGCAGAACCAAAGCAAAAGGTCTTATTGACATTAACTCAGCATGAGCCATCCCAGGTAAAAGGTCGTCCTCAGACATCTTATCGCCAGTACTAGGGTGTGGTCAGGAATTCCTCAATCCACTAAACTCACCCAGGGCGGCTGGGAAAGAAAATGTCGGGGTGGGGGTGGAAGGCAGCACTAAGTTGGAATTTGTTCACGTGAAATTTACAGGAAGGCTCTGATGAAATTCGTAGTTTTTACTATCAGAAAATTTATCAGGAACATTGTCAACAAGATTGCTGGGCAAGTATTTGAATGACTAAAGAATAAACATCTATCACCTTGAAAACACATTCTGAACTGATACGTTCACCACAATCATTCTTATCTGTTTGTTCAATTATAACAGTTCATTGTGGAAGGCCAGCGAGGAACACCCTCCTCAACTCAGGCACCTTATTTTGCAAACTTGAAAGCAATACATATCCCTTCTTTTAAAGAGCCTTATCATTCAGAGTTTCCTAAACCAGTCTTTCTCTAGTTAGCCCAAACTAGTGAAGACTGGAAGGATTTAATTTCTTTTCTTTCTCACCTCCCCATTCATTCACTGATTCATCCACAGCCACCTCTCCAGGCCAACAATTTATCATGTGCTGAAATATGGCAGAAGGCAAGGTCTCTGAGAGATGGTAGGAATGTCACCAAATGATAAGCAAGATAATTTCAGGTCCTGTTAACAGGACAGTTGAGGGTGGTGGAGACTAAAGTCTGTGGTCAGAGGAGCCTCCATGAGGAGGTCACATTCAAGCTGTGACCTCAGGAATGCAAAGGGGCCACCAGGGAAAGATCTGGACAAAGAGAATTCCAGGCAGAGGAGCAGCAGGTACAAAGGCTCTAAGATAGGACTGAGCGCGGTGCGATGGAGGAGCGGCTAGCAGGTCCAGGTAGTGGGAGCACTCGAGAGAGAGGAGATGAGATGAGCTGGGAGAGGAAGGACGGCAGTGTGTGCAGAGGCCTGGGCCTTAGTGAGCCGCTGAGACTACTCCCAAAAGTCACCAGGGGCTGCAGAGTAACAATAATGCTAACCATTACCCATTAAAGATGTCGCTCAGCTGCTATGTGGTTTCAGGACGTCTTGAATGGGGCCTTAATAAGGGCTTACTAATCACGGGAGGCAGGGTAGTGTGGGAGGCAGGGTAGTGTAGGAGCCAAGAGTGCTGCCTGCAGACTCCAGAGCCAAACCACCTGGGACAAAATCCAGCTTCCACCACCAACTTGGACAAGTCACTTAGCCTACCTGAGCCTCAGTTTGCTCATCTGCATACTGGGAATTATAGTATGGCTGTTCTAAGCATTATAGTAAGTGCTCAAAATATGGCAACTATCACCAGCATCATCACCATCATCGCCATCACCCTCAACTACCACCATCGCCATCCACATCACCACCACCATCATCACCATGATCAACGTCATCATCACCATTGTCATCACCATGATCACTATCATCATCACTACCATCTTCATCATCGCTACCCTCACCATCATCACCAATACCCTCACCATCACCATCACTCCCATCATCACAATGAGCACTATCATCATCACCATCATCACCACCTCCACTATCAACCATAACTACCACTACCACCATCATCACCACCATCATCACCACCACCATCGCCATCACCACCACCATCATCACCACCATCACCATCACCATCACCACCACCACCACCACCACCACCACCACCACCATCATCACCACCTCCACTATCAACCATAACTACCACTACCACCATCATCACCACCACCATCATCGCCATCACCACCACCATCATCACCACCATCACCATCACCACCACCATCACCACCACCACCACCATCACCATCACCACCACCATCATAACCACCACCATCACCATCACCACCATCACCACCATCACCATCATCACCACCACCACCACCACCAACATCACCACCACCACCACCACCAGCATCACCATCACCATCACCACCACCACCACCATCACCACCACCATCACCATCACCACCATCATCATCAGCATCATCACCACCACCACCACCACCACCACCATCACCACCATCACCACCACCATCACCACCACCACCACCACCACCACCATCACCACCATACCCACCACCATCACCACCACCACCACCACCATCATAACCACCATCACCACCATCATCACCATCACCACCAGCACCATCATCATCACCATCATCACCATCACCATCACCATCAGCATCATCACCACCACCACCATCATCACCACCACCACCACCATTACCACCAACATCATCACCATCACTACCACCACCACCACCATCATCACCATCACCACCATCATCACCACCACCACCACCATCATCATCACCACCACCACCACCACCAGCATCACCATCACCATCACCACCACCACCACCATCACCACCACCATCACCATCACCACCACCATCATCACCACCACCACCATCACCATCACCACCACCATCATCACCACCACCAC